ACTACATCATCAATAACTTTAAGCAGGTTGTTCTTGAGGAGGAGTTCCTGCAGCTAACTGTGGAGGAACTTGCTGACATCCTTGATAGAGACGACCTCAATGTGCAGTTGGAGACCACTGTGTATGAAGTGCTTACAAAGTGGATTAGCCATGTACCTGCAGAACGGAAACAACACCTCACCACTCTGTTGCCCAAGGTCTATAAACTTTCATTACTACATTTAGTTTGGACTTAAATCTTCAGCATTTAAGTCATAGATTGAGTCGATCCATCTGGGTATAAGGATGCTTTAATATCTCAAGATGTTGCTCTTTTCAGCTGTAGCCAAACCACATTTAAGAAATTCTCTTCAAGAGCATTAAAACCGTATCAGATCTCTACACACATGCTATAGAATAAATTATATTTATTAAGTATAGTTGCTAGGGCTATGACTAAAAACTGTCCCTGCTGACGAAAAGACTAATGGTGTCTGACTTTGGTCGCTCTCTTGCTAGCAATAAGAAAATTAAACAACATTAGGAGCATTATCCTAAAGAAGCTTCAGTTTACTAAAACTGATGTAGTTGAAATTCATAGTCATATTCTCTTCTGTCATCTCTCTGTAGGTCCGACTGGGATTGATGACGTCAGACTACCTAAAGGACAATTTGCTGTCTAGTGAGCTGGTGGGGGCCAATTCTGAGTGCGTGTCCATGATAAGTAATGTCATCTTAGACATACATGGTCTAGGAAGCAGACCCTTCATGTCTGGCTTGTGTCACCCTCTTGCTCGTCCCCGCCTGCCTCATTCCATCCTGCTGGCCATTGGGGGGTGGAGTGGTGGTGATCCAACTAACGGCATCGAGGCCTACGATTGCCGGGCTAACCGCTGGGTCAACGTAACGAACAACCTCGAGTGTCCTCGTGCTTATCATGGAGCCGCCTTCCTCAACGGGTACGTCTACTTCATTGGTGGCTTCGACAGGGTGGAGCATTTCAACAGCGTCCGTAGGTTTGACCTGACCACTCGC